GGAAGGTCCGGTGTTTGATTCCCGGCCGCGTCATACCAAAAGACGATAAAATATGGTACTTGTTGTTACCCTGTCTGGCGCTAGGCATTAAGGGGCTAAAACAAGGACTGGTCGGCTCGGAGTCAGTATACTGTGTCTGAGTGGGGTATTCATGTTAAACTGCGGCATGGTATCTCAGTGAGCTAGCACTATAAATAGGCATCAGTCCGGTCTAGTACAAGCAGCCACACACACACATACACGTGCATGCACGTCGCTATATAAGTTTAATAATCTTGGACGCGACCTTAAACCCCATTTCACCTCACCTCACCTCATTTCCCTGTTGGCCCAGTCGTATGAAGTTCCGTCGAGTTTCGTCCCTTAGGTGGGCCAGAATCCTATGACCGTGGATCCTGATTCGCCCAGAATGTAGGTTTGTCATTGCAATACCCGTGCTTGTGAGTATAACTAACCGGCTTTTCTGCGATACCTGGCTAAACACGACACACCGTGATACAACTGAAACACTGTTCAACAATGGGCGGTCGGGTAGCCCAGTGGTTAAAGCGTTCGCTCGTCACGCCGAAGACCCGGGTTCGATTCCCGACATGGGTACCAGGTGTGAAGCCCATGTCTGGTGTCCCCCGCCGTGATGTTGCTGGAATATTGCTAAGAGCGGCGTAAAACCATACTCACTCACTTCATGCACTGTTCAACAAGATAGTTAAACCGTACTCATTCAGACGTTTGAAATTTGAACCCAATTTTACCTTTAATTATATTGCCATTTTCTCCATTTTTAAATCTGAACAGCACCTTTAATTTGGAGATGTGCTGTGCCTGTGCTTACAGTCGTAACGACCACCCTGTAGCTTGTGTTGTTGAGTAATCTGGGCCTGTCATTAAAATTAGGGGCAGTCGGGTAGCCTAGTGGTTAAAGCGTTCGCTCGTCACGCCGAAGACCCGGGTTCGATTCCCGACATGGGTACAATGTGTGAAACCCATTTCTGGTGTCCCCCGCCGTGATATTGCTGGAATATTGCAAAAAACGACGTAAAACCATACTCACTCACTCATTAAAATTAATTCTCTGTTCCTAAGAGGTGAGACCAAAGGCACCACCAATGATGTATTAGACAACTGATTGTCACGTGATCCAACCCATCAGTAGTTATGTTAACGGTACTCAAATGACAGTGTCGAGGCTATTGCGGGTTTCATAGACACATGTTAACATAAAGAACAGAAACAGTTAGGGATCATGAACACTTTTGTGGACAGAAATATTTCATGATCCCTAACTTTTGTTGTTCAGTATACATGGCTTTACATTGATATTTGTTGCGTGATCATAACAAACTGTCTCCATAACAACGTGTCCAGTTCCCAAGCTTCCAAAACACACGTGTAACTTTCCCCAGCTACTGTAAACATCTGTATGTACATAAGAGCTAATCAGTTGGATACCAGTCTCTCTTCCAGGGTTATAATGACCGGTATGTGTAAATCACTCTCCTCAAAGCAAACGTAAACTATTAAAGACGTTCGGCATGTTCAATATTTTTTTGAAAGAAGGATAAAGCAGGTGCCTTCAAGGTTTGTTTTTATATTCCTTTGTGATATACTACACATAGATATTTCCAGCTTGTGTCTTCTATCGTAAATACGTGCTTGTTTGTGATAAGCATTTTCTTCAAGTATCTACATAGTTCCAGATAATAAAACTGAAAACCACCCACGCAAATTATTTCACAAAGGCGAATCAATTAATAGCAATGGCCACTTAAAACTATATTATTAAGGCGTAAACAAATACCCATGGGAGTTTATGTCTTCCATCGTAAATACACTCATGTTTATGGCTAAACATTCAGCTTTAACTATATAAATAGTTCCTGAAAATAACAATCAAATTGAACAACAAGACCATATAAAATATTTCATAAAGACAAATCAATAACTCAATATGCCAATGGTACGTGAAATAGGTTACGAGTGAAATTAATATTTGTGTTGGACTCACTGAATGGAGGACGTTCTTTTTCAATGACATATTGTTTGCCACTAACCTGGCAATACCCCCCGCCCCTGTTGCAGAATTTATGACATAATTAAATCTAAACAAACCCATACCTTTTTTAACCGAGGTGCAACTTGTCATGGAAATTGTAATAAAAAGAGAGTTTGGAACCTAAGTCCATCTTGTTGCCATGGAAACGTAAAAAATAGCAAAAGGCACCAGTTCAGCATGTACTTGACAGACCTGCAAAGTTTCATTAAAAAATATGGAACGGTTTCTGAGTTATGTTCCGGAAACGAAACGTGACGGACGGAGCCCGTCCGTCCGTATGTATAATAGCGCTTTACTCAGGCCTTGAATTTTGTAACCTTGATCGAACAACTTCTGATCTAGAGTTGTATGACGCTCTTTGAAACTTTGGTAGAAAGAGCATGCTCGATTTTACCTTAAATGTTGTGAAATGTAGACGTTATTTAGTAAATGAATAAGAATTGTCATTCATCCTAACCTTCCTTGTTAACCATGAAGGCGTGACTATGAATTATTAGATCCTTGCAAATCCAAAGGGTTCTGACAAACACATAAATACTTACAAATTATTGACGTTATACATTGAACGTTTTGGCTTTATGGGGGACTAGGCTCGGCTAAATGGAAGCCCCAGACAAATTTACTCAAGTCGTTCCAAAACTGCATATGCATGGTTACTAATTGCAATTTAATTGAATTATGAATAATAGCATAACAGATAAGAAGTTCTATCATTCCTTAAAGACATTGTCTCCATTTTCAACCTGGGACTTAGCCAATACTGGCAATTGGCATCAAATCTTGAATGGAGTCCCGCCTTAATACACGCAGTTGTACTCAGTACTATATATCCTCAATTGAACACATGTTTTGTTTATGCAAAGCTTTTAATACGAGAACGATATTAACACACGAATGCCTTTTAGAATTGGGATAACACTTTCTTAGTAAAGTACAGATTCTCGTACTTTTCATCCGGATGGGACTCAGCCACCCAAAAGTACGAGAATCTGTGCTTTACTAAGAAAGTGTTATCTCAAATATAACATTTGTTAGAGAAAGATGTTCGTTAACGAATTTCACATTTATTGAATTCAAGGTCAGATAAAGGAAAATGGCATCACCCTGAAAAAGAACAGACAGACAATAGAATCAAACAACAACATGTGCGGTAAGAAGCTGCTATTCGCACAAAGAGTTCAACAGAGGTCAAGGTCAGCGTGACACTAACTTAAATACGTGGAAAGGTCATAAATGTCAATTATAAGTCACGTGATGTCCTTTGACCTTGTCCTTTGACCTTGTCCTTCGAATCCACCAACAACGAAAGGAGGCTATCTCATGAGTTTTTTGGTGGTGTGGAGTCATTCACTTTAAACACATGGCGTCATTCTTTTCTTTCCCTCTTTCCTCAAGGGAGGGGAATACGGTATTCGAATTTTGTAAGAATTCACACGTTCTAAGATCTTAGTTCCTTTTATGTCATGAATGACTTGATCAATACAATGAAAATGTTCTTAATGCAACAGTTCAATCGTTGTACTGACTTATTCTTGCGAATGAACTTACAGAATCGTCCACAAAACGGCCTGACCTTGAGCACATTGCAATAGAAATACTTACAAGGGTTTGTTACTCTTAAATGATCGGAAAATCACATATCAAAATGAAGAACATGCAAGCGGTGGAACGTTATGAGTGAGTGAGTGAGTTTGGCTTTACGCCGCTTTTTTCCGGCAATATCAAAGGCAGGGAACACCAGAAATTGACTTCACACATTTAACCCATGTCCGGAATCGAACCCGGGAACATTATGAAAAACGTTACTATGACAACTAACCCCGACATACCAACAGAAATTTTTAAAAATAAAAAACATTGACACTTCCAAAGGTTCCGAAGAATATTTTCACAACTTCAGTATTTACACATATATTTAGAAATAAAAGTTATTTAATAGAAGGTAACCCTGTTTTTCAAAGGTCAAGGTCAATATGTCACCAAAGTCAACGTTAATATTATTACACGATAAAAACATGCCTTGCAAATTCACATTAAACCTTTTCTTATACTCGTATTTATTAAAACCCGCTTATTAAAAACAATTGATAATATGGATTTTTTATGGATTTTTTTTCAGCTTTCTATATTTAGAGACTTATGACCTACAATATGACTTACTTATTTTAAGGTTTGGTTTGTTTGTTGTTTTACGCCGCACTCAGCAATATTCCAGCTATATGACGGCGGTTGTCATCGATCCCAATTGCGTTGAACGATGTTCATTATGTCAATCACTGGATTGTCTGGGCCAGCCTCGATTATTTACAGACCGCAAACAAACAAATCTGTAAAAAATCTCGAGTCACTCCAGTGATTGATATTATGAGCATCGATCCACGCAATTGGGATCGATGACATGCTTCAACCAAGTGAGCGAGCCTGACCACCCGATCCCGTTAGTCGCCTCTTACGACAAACATAGACGATGTTTTGGACAAGCACGGATTGCTGAAGAACTATTCTACCCCGGATCTTCACAGGTAGTCTATATCAGAAGGTGTGGTTTCTTGACATGTACGTTAATACATTAACATTAATAGCATCATATACATATACATCATAAAGCTGGATTTTGCGTTCAACAACAAATAAACAAAACATGTTGGATCAACCATTTGCAACGGTTTAATAAGATTATGTATGTCGTTTGTTTCTTCCTTTGTTGTTGAACGCTGCACTAAGGAATATTCCTACATGACAGCGGTCTGAAAATGGTCGACAAGACAAGTCACGCAGTTGGGATACGATTATATGCAAACAACAAAGTTACCGAGCCTGACAAGCCGATCCATAATTCGCTTCAAATAAACAAACAAAGAAACAAACAAAAAACTAACCTGAAATCATTCATCTTTCGCAAAGAATAATGAACAGTAAACAAGATGGTTGAAAAACAGATCCCTACCTGCCCCCGAAGGAGTTCTTGTCGCACTGTAATGAGTGATCCAGGAAGACACTGGGTCTCAGTTTTCCTTGCTGTCCTCCGTTCTGACAGGCCTGGGATGAGACAGCATATCAGCGTATGTTCTGCCAGAGCGCATAAGGCAGCGTATAAAGGTTAATCGATTGCATTTACGAGTCGAGCAATCATTGGATGTGTTCAGGTCTGCGTAGGAGGCTACAGACAAGGACGCAAGGTTCTTTAAAAACTGTTTCAACCGAAGTTAAAGAAAAGTGACAAGCAAACGCAAAACAGGACATTTCTAACATTACCCTTTGTGTCAGATTGAGCAAACACAAATTTTCATTCTATAATATAAGAGATAGATATCAACCATTTATGGTTTGAAGCATTCTCCGGTGGTGAGGATTCAAAATTGTACAAATGGTGGGGCTGACCCCCAAGGGACTGAGGGGCGGAGCGAAATAGGGGTGATTTGGCGTTATTGCTTTAAACTTCTTTTCTGGAACTAAGAGACATATACCAACCATTTATGGTTGGAAGCATTCTCCGGTGTTGAGAATTCAAAATTGTACAAATGGTGGGGCTGATCCCCCAGGGGCTGAGGGGCGAGGCCAAAAAGTGTTTATAACTTCGACACAGTTAAGATCCCCATCGATAACCATATGTACAATTGCTGAGTACAATGAGAGGAATGCACATTTGCTACCAGGATGTCCCGGGGGGTCTTGCTCCACCCCTGGAGACTTAACCCCTGGGTCATAACTTTGAAACAGTTGAGATCCCCACCCCATAACCATATATACAATTGCTGGACATGAAGAGACAAACACAAGCATGATATTAGTATTGAGTCTGGGGTCTTGCCACACCCCAAGATTAAGTTCTTGGGTGAAAACTTGGAAACAGTTGCGATCCCCACCCTATTACCATATACATGTAAACACGTCATTGCTTAGCATAACAAGACAAATACATATACTGAACAACAAAACTTCCTGTGACATTGAATAAGATTTAAGATTTTTACCAAATCTGAAACAATTTCGATTTGCAACAGATCAAAGACTCCTGTAAGTGTTCAAATGGTTTAATTTGCCATACTGACTTCAGAAAAAACATGAACATGCCAAAATGACGACAGTAGAACAACAGGGCCGATGATGTCGTCGCAGTAGCGCTGTCCATTGAAATTTCCCTCTACCACTATCAAACGGGTCCTCTGTTTTGCTGTAATCCCCTCCCATACCATAACGCTGCCGCCCCCGAACCGATCTTCTTCCATGACACAATGATTGACGTAACGTTTACCTCGACGTCGATACACTCGAATCCGTCCATCGCTGTGGCTGAGGTGAAAACGAGACTCGTCAGTGAATAGAACTTGTCCCCTACTGCATGGCCGTCCAGCGTAGACGCTGTCTGCACCACTGTAGACGTGCTTGACGGTGGTTTCCTGATAAAATGGGACGTCTGGCGGGTCTTCTGGCGACGATCCCTGCACATCTGAGGCGACGACGTACGGTTTGTGAAGATATTCGTCGTAGGCCACGGATGCTTCTTGCAGTCACTGTTGCTGGCTGGAATCGATTTCGTAGGTGTGTTGTTCGAATCCAGTTGTCTTGTCGATTATTGGTTACGCATAGACTGCCACTCCGAGGATGGTCTCTGACTGCATTCTTCTGTTGCCAACGTTGCCATAAACACCAAATGGTGTTTTTGTGGACGTTAAATTGTCTTGCAACATCACCTTGACTCGATCCCGCTTCAAGCATAACAATGGCTCGCAGACGCTCATTTCGGACAGGCGTGACATTTCTTACTGTTGAATAATTGCGTAATTTTGTTGTTTTTCTGAGTGGTTGTTGTCAGCACGATGCTAAACAATGCACTAGGAATCCCGTTAATGCACATGTTTTTATACCCATTCTTAGGTAGTTAAATGCATGGGGCTTGCACAAAAGTCAACTTTTGCATGGAATGCATGCTTTTCTGTAGCAGTTGCGTTTTTGTGACTTGATTCCATACATGTACTACAATATTGAAAAACAAACATTACTTATACACTAAAATATTGGTGTCACAGGAACTTTTGTTGTTGAGTATAGTAGATGACTGTGAGTGACCACAGGATAGCACCGGTGGAGTAGTAAGTAGTTCTGCAGTCTGGGTGGACTGTTCAGTTGCGAAAACGTCAGGATGATCCGAGTTATCCCATGTCTGGTTCATTTGGTCCTACAAGTATTTTGGCATCAGCAAAACTGATATTTCAGGTGAATTTAATTTTCGGGATCTCCATTTGTTCTTTGTTTAGAGAAAGACGAGTGATTGCCTGAATAGTTGGTGCACATTTAAAAGATCCGTTACAATCTTCCGTTACATGTTTATTCTCACTGCAGTGAGCACATGTAATGTACAATGTGGAAGTATTAATTATAACACCATGGCCGTATTCATGGCATTTGAAACATCGCAGGGGTCTGGGAAGTAAGTGTCCACGTTGCTATGGCAGTAATATGCCTTTATGAACTTTGGAGCAGTCGGAGAAGGAAAAATAAAGAGGTAAGTGGTGTTTGGTTGAGTTTCGTTGTTCTTGCGGGTTGTGAACCTTTTGTCATAGATGACTCCTTGATTTCTCATTTCGAAAACAATATCAATCTCAGCCATATCAGTGAATAATCGATCTCTGTCTCCCACACTACCTTTGTTGGTGTACAGTGTTCTGTGAGCAGAGACAAAACAACGACTCTAACAAACATATCTGTTGACAAGAGGTCAGCAGATTGCGGTTTCCTGTTACCTTCTATTAGGATAGCACCTGATCGCAATCTTTTGATGTTTTTTTACCTTGCCTGCTATGCCTTGAATACCCTTAGATATTGCAAACGGGTTCCATTTGAGAGGAGTCCTGTCTCGAGTCTCCATAACCAGGAAACGTGGCCAGTAGTCAATGGATTTGGATGGTCTAATTTCGTTTTCATCAGTGTCAAGTGTCAAGTGTCTTTTGAGGGGCTTCTCGTAATCCATGTTTAATGTTGTAAGTTCCATCATCCGAGCTCCCCACCCACCATGGAGTATCATTAAGACAATGCTAATAACACATGGATTTCCGACTTGCAGCACCAAGGATACCCGGATGGTATACTCATGTATTTTTCAACAGTTTGGCCCAAGGAGCCACCGCCTTCTGTGCGAAATTGTGAAACTGAAGCAGTACATTTGAAATTCAAACAAAACATCATTTGACCATGACAAAACAAATCATTTCAGCATTTTGACAAATTTGTGCAACATAATATTCATGTACAGTGCTTGGGATGTCTAGCCAATTGGACCGGGCCCATCCTACCACCCGTCTAGGCGAAGTAAGGGTCGAAGCGGTGTATTAGGCAAAGGAATGCTATTCTGTTTCCAGTGCCCACAACCATCAGACTCCTGTCCTCCACCGACTCAGGGATGCAACCCACAACACACAGGTTGCCTGATTCGACCAAAAATAGGTTGTTGAAACATATTCTACCCCGGGTCCCCACTGAGGAGATTGGGTCCAGGATATTTATCACAATAGGGAAATATACGGGTTAATCGAAGGTTGATCAGAAGCGGCATAAATTATTAACCACTCATCACTCAGCTGTGCAGGAAACCTTTTTACTGACCATGTAAACAACATAGGCGTATTATCTCCTTGAATTCATATTAAAAACTAACCTATGTGTGGTTAATGTTGTCGTGGCAACTATTTCAACAGCATGATGTTTTATTGATTTAAAACGTCATGGGTCTTCTGAATTTGAATTTGAAAACATGTCTGTAACCACCAAGGGCAAGTTTGTTTTTTTAATCGAGTCTGGACCAGACAATCCAATGACTGACACCGTGAGAATCGATTGAAATACGAAGACATGCAGAAACAAAGTCAGCGAGTCTGACCAACCGATCCAATTGGTCGCCTCTTGCAACAAGCAAGACCAATTCTAACTCGGATCTTCATGGGTCAGTTAACAAAGGTGTGTTCTTATACTTTAAAAGTGAAAAGCCACCATGCCGGCGATAAGGAGTATTAATTACAGCAATGACAAAACTTGCAAAGCGCGCTTTTTCAAGAAATTAATGTTGTTTTCCTGATACAGTTCTCGAACTCTAACCTTAAAACGCTGAAACAATAGGTTTCGACCAGGAGATCCTTATTCAGCATCAATATTTCCATAGAACATATATGCGACTATTATGACCTAAAACCTTTACGTTACGTAAAATAATAATTTAACGAAAAAGTGAACTGTTTGAATGAACCACACTTTAATGGATTTGTAATGATTAAATTCACTGTGTCTACAAAATTATTTGCTACACAAATTCCACACAATGAACAACTCGATTATTTCTGCTTACTCCGCAACTGAATACGAAGGAAATTCATTTTTTCCTTTAAATGGGAAACATGGTTACTTTGTGAAAGATGTAAACATGTAAAGACAGACGTTCACAAACCGAAAAACATTAAAAAATCGATTAAAAGATTTGAATTACATTTTTTATTTTTAAGGCTTTAAGTAAGCGTTGGCAATGGCTGATTGTTGTTATAACATATACTTTTACAATACACTTCGACTCGATCACCTGTGAATTCACACACACGGGCGCGATACAATTTACCGCTATTTTCACTTAAGATCGTGTAAATGCATCATCAGTGTTCTTCAATCATCCATGAGTAGACCGTCTCCCTAGTCTAGTAATCGGAAGGTCGATGGTTCGATCCCCGACCATGTTATACCAAAAGATGGCACTTGTTTCCCTGTCTGGCGCTTGGCATTATGATTAAACAAGGACTGGTCGGCTCGGAGTCAGTATACTGTGTCCGATTGGGGTATCTAGGTCAAACAGCGGCATGGTATCTCAGTGGCCTAGCACCATAACACCGGCATCAGTCCGGAGATTATGACATCACTTGTTTGTGTGAAAGATTTTTTAAGAAAAAGTGAAAAGATCGATTTAGAAGATTAAGACTGGTTTGGAAATAACTCCTCCGAAGGAATGCTTAGGAGAAGCCTACAGTTAGGAATGCTTAGGAGAAGCCTACAGTTGGGAATGCTTAGGTGTGGTCTACAGTTAG